TAATTGCAAGGCCTCGTTTAAGAAGTTTGCAACTTTTAACGAATTAAAATGAAGGATGAGACAACACTTTTGGCATCTTTGATGACAGGGTGGATGTTTATATCAGTTGTATACTAGAGTCCATGAGTAGATATTGTCACTTGTTAGAGCATTTTATCTTCGAATTTAGCGGAGTTTGTCATCTCTAAACTTTGTTGATGATTTTTTTTAATATTTGAGAAGACTGTAGAATCAATTCAGTGAGATCTCATCTCACATGCAATGCAGGCAGACTTGATTTAGTAGAAACCATGGTGGGCAAAGAATTTGTGCTCAACTACCCTAAGATAACCATTTTGGTACTGCAAGCATGCAAACTGTTTCCTTATGAAGCTTTCGAGCTGGTGAAGGTATCCATTGTCTCTTTCTGGTATTTGAAGAACACATGAATATGTTGACTTTTTAACATGCGAAATTGCCCAGTTGATTAATTATGTGTTAGTAATCTCCATTGCAAAGGCCAAATATTGAAAAATAAGATGAAGTGAAGAATTCTAAACTTCTTATGGGACTGAAAACAATGTTGGAGATGATGAGTACAAACACATTCTATGTGTAGAGACAGCAACAATTGAGAAGTTAATTTGAAGCACGGTGAAGAATGGAAAGTAGCGCAACAATATTCGTTCAGAATTGATTAGCATGTTTTTCTGTCATAATGGATTAGCAACAATATTCTATGAGAATGTATTAGTGTTTTACTTAGATTTCAATGTTTTTATTTGATTTTTAACCATTCTCATTTTTATTCTTTAAGAATAAATGAAATTGTTAACCATTATTACTTATATTCTTTCAGAATGAATGTCATTTATGCATGTTCATAGTCGTATTAGTTAAGAATGAATGTAAGTACTAATCTTAATATCTTAAAATTTTGTTCATATAAAATTTGTATTTATTAAAAAATATTAATCTTGATATTAAATGTTTATATATTCTGTCAGAATTTAATGTTTTTTTCAAGATAATGATAAACACATTCTTTTAGAATGTCCAAATTAATATATTTATAATCCAAAAAATCATATTCTTAAAGTTTAGAGAATTAATTATTCACTAAAATCTGCAATTTTCCTTTCTCAAATTTATGTTAATTGATTAAAATACCTTTAGAATGAAATTAGATGGTATTTTTCAATTATCTTTAATTTAATAGTACGTATTAGTTATTTTCTTAAAATAAGTAAACTGATTGGCTCACAATCATTCATACATCCATACAATAATTAGTTAGAATACAATAACTTAAGCCTATATATATATTTAGTAATATATATATATATATATATATATATATTACTAAATTTTCTTTTGTTATTCATATATGATAGTTTCACTCGTGACAATTCAATTTTATACAACAGATAATTACAACGTTCTTCTGTAAAATGATAACTTTTTTACAAAAAACATAATAGTTGGAAAAAATATTTACTAGATATGGGTAGTTCCAAACTTATTTACTAAGTAATTGTATTTGAAAAAAAAATAGTAATAAAACCAATTTTTCTATTCATTACCTTCACGCGATCAATATTCATGCATTCTCTCACGTTTTCGTCCTCCGTGCGCCGCCATTAGACTAGAGGGTATGGTGCGGTTTGGGACCGCACCTTGGTACCACCTCAGCAGGGAACACCGCCCCCAGGGTGCGGTTTCCTGCCATTGAGACCGCAGTGCGGCCTTTGAAGACCGCGAAATTTGATTGGTGGGTCAAATTTTTGACCGTTGAACGCAATTTCGTCTTTTTTTTTTTTTCTTTCCTTCCTATATATATACACATATCAAACTTAATTTTTTTCACAACACAATCTTCTCTCTCTCAAAAAAAAAAAAAATTAAAATCACCACTCTCCAAAAAATGTCATCTTCTTCATCTTCTGAAGAATTTCAGACTATTTTTGATACCGCTATTGCGTGTGTTCAAATGGCGGAACAAACATACAACGTTATATGTAACAACGCAGCTGCAAGTTCTCAACAGAGAACACGAAGATACATTTACAGAAATCGTGAAGAAGCCAACCAACGTTTGGTGCAAGACTATTTAGCAGAGAATGCCACTTACCAAGGGTATTATTTTCGTAGACGCTTCAGAATGCTCAAATGTTTATTCGAACGTATGGTTGAAGATGTAACGAGGGAGTGCAGTTTTTTCCAACAACGCTACGATGCTAGAGGTACACCCGGTTTCACTCCGTTACAAAAATGCACGGCCGCACTTCGTCAGTTAGCATATGGCATTCCGTCTGATGCGTTAGACGAAAGTTTTAGGATGTCTGCTAGGACAGCACGAGACAGTCTCCATTTTTTCTGCAAAACTGTCATTCAGTTTTATGGTCCAAAATATTTACGTAAGCCTACACGTAATGACATCTTGCAATTGCAAGCTCATCATGCTAGTGTGCATGGGTTTCCTGGAATGCTAGGAAGCTTAGATTGTCTCCATTGGGCATGGGAAAATTGCCCTACAGCATATCATGGGCAATTTACACGAGGTGATCATGGTCACCCAACGGTGGTACTTGAAGCAGTTGCATCACAAGATATGTGGATTTGGCATGCTTTTTTTGGTTCTCCTGGTTCGATTAACGACATCAACGTTCTTAACCGTTTACCAATATTTAACAACATATACGATGGATCCGCACCAGATTCTTCTTTTCAAGTGCATGGAACGCCATATAAGTATGGTTATTATCTAGTCGATGGAATCTATCCTGAGTATGCTGTGTTTGTTAAGTCGTTTTCAGCTCCACATGGTTCTAGACGAAAGAAATTCAAGAGAGCTCAAGAAAGAGCTAGGAAGGATGTTGGGCGTGCTTTTGGAGCTCTGAAGAAACGGTGGTTCATACTGAAAAAACCAGCAGCTTATTTGGGCGAGGAAAAACTTCAAGAAATCATGTATACGTGTATTATATTGCATAACATGATTATTGAAGACGAAGGAAGAGCAATATGTGCGTTTGACGAGGAAGAAATAATACCAGAGACATAGCCAATAGAAATTGGTGGCGAAGAGTATATAAACAGAAGAGCAGAGATACGTTGCACTGAAACATTTCATAATCTTCGCAATGACTTGGTGGAACACATTTACGGGGTTCAAAACATTAACCTTAATTTGGATCCACCGGATGACCCCGAAGACGAGTTCTCGGAGAACGACTTTATGTAGTTTCCTTTAGTTATTTTATTTATGTTTTTTAAGTTTATAGGGTTATTTAAATGTCATGTGTGTGGTTTTTTTTTAGTAACGCAATGTACTGTTTTTTTTTATTTTGAAGTAATGAAGAATTATGTTTTTTTTTATTAAAATAGAAGGTATATTAAATTAAATTAGTTTAAAAAAAAAGAATTTTTATTAAATTAAAATACTTAAAAAAAACAAAAAAATAAAAGAAATGAAAAGTGTGGCACCACACCCTTGGTGTGGTAAGAAACCACACTTAAGTGGTAAAATGTGACGTGGCGCTTACGTGGCGAGGGAGGGAGTGCGGTTTCGGTGGCACCACTCCCTCCAGCCTTATGAGAACCACCAGCGATAACGAGTCTCGTTGACCTCATCATAATTGTCTACAAACCCCTTTTCCATTGTCGAGAATTAAACAACCATTAATTAGATGTTTTTAGTTTTGTGACTTTTTGTGTATGCTTTTTAGTTTCTATTTGTTACCTTCACGCGATCAATATCTATGACCTTTTGATGGCTGTTTTTTGTTTTGTTACTTTTTTTGTGTATGCTTTTATTCATAAAAGTTAGGAAAAAAATAAATTAGATGTTTTTTATCAAGAATTAAACAACCATTAATGTAGAATGATTAAGAAAAAATAACGTCTGTAATATTTATGACTTGATAATTTAGCTTAAAATTGCTTTGAACAACTTGAAATGATTTTATTAATCACTTGAGCAAACATTCTCTATATATTAAGAACTATTTAAACAAAACAAATAAATAAATAAATAAATAAACTCTGATATAATAAAAATATGATCATTTCTTTTAATTTTAATTTTACAATATAAATTCATACTATAAAAGTTATGGTGATAGATATTATCTATAGATGATTTTTATTGTAAAAATAGTTTAAATTGTAAGTAAAGATAATGAAATATAAAAAGTCACGTGAGATTTCTATATATTCCCATTTAATTTAAATTAGAAAGTAATGATAAATACAAAAATACATTTTGGTAATTATGTTTGGAACTACCACACATTTGTAAATATGTTAAAAAAGAATTATGCCTTAGTACAAAACTCTAAAATGGATTTTTGTTTATCCTTTTTGTTCGTATTAATCATCATAATGTTATTTTAAGATATAACTTTTAATTAATATATTTTCATAACGATAGAAGTGAGGGACCTTATCCATGCCTTTGTTTATACGTATTTAATGTACATCATATACAGGGTATTACTGTTATTACTATTTTTGAAACTACATCGATAAATGAACGAACCCTAGAAATTCTGTCACCTTCAAATTTCTCTCAAACACACACATTGATCTTCGATCTCAAATTTATTCTTTACTATCATATGATATAAAGTGTTGGAAACTTCTCAAATTAGTGTGTGTAAGTTTCATAACCTAATTTAATTTGATTGATTTGAAATGATTTCGCATCGAGATAGTGTTAATTGTCATTTTGGAGTTTGTATGATCTAAGATCTTGTTGATTTAGCTTGTTTTCTATAGTCGAGATGGTGGTCATTTATTTGAATTTGATCTAATCGGTTACGAGTCTGTTTCATCAAAAACTTATTGCATTGTATAATGTTGATTGCATGTAAGTGTTTTCCTAACAAAGTGAATTCATTTGTTTAAATGTAAAGTGAGGTTTGCTTTTTCCTGGCAGATAATAATCGGAATTTACCCTTTAGGAGGTTTCCAAGAAGTTTTTGTTTTTAGGTTGAAATCAATAGAGAGAGAAAAAGATAAAGATGCAATCGAGATCATATACTAATCTTCTAGAATTGGCTTCTGGGAATTTCCCTTTAATGGGGCGAGAGAGTGACAAGCGAAAGATGCCAAGGATAATGACTGTTCCTGGAAGTATCAACGAATTTGATGATGAGCCAACAAGCAGTGTTGCATCTGATAACGCTTCTTCACTTTCTATGGATAGAATCATTATAGTTGCAAATCAATTGCCTCTAAAAGCCAAAAGAAGACCTGATAATAAAAGTTGGAGTTTTACTTGGGATGACGACTCTCTCCTTCTGCGACTCAAAGATGGTTTTCCTGATGACATGGAAGTTCTATATGTTGGATCCTTAAATGCCGATGTTGATGGCATTGAACAAGATGATGTTACGTAACTCTTGTTGGAAAGATTCAATTGTGTCCCAACATTTCTTCCACCTAGTCTCATCGAAAAGTTTTACACTGGTTTTTGCAAGCAACATTTGTGGCCTCTCTTTCACTACATGTTACCAATTTCAGTTGATCATGGAGGTAGATTCGATCGATCTATGTGGGAAGCCTACGTCTCTGCAAACAAATTATTTTCCCAGAAAGTAATTGAAGTCATAAATCCCGAAGATGATTTTGTTTGGATCCATGATTATCATCTAATGGTGTTACCTACTTTCTTGAGAAGACGATTTAATCGTTTAAGAATGGGGTTCTTCCTCCATAGCCCATTCCCTTCTTCCGAAATTTATAGAACACTTCCTGTTAGAGAAGAAATCTTAAAAGCTATACTCAACTCCGACCTAATCGGATTCCACACCTTCGATTACGCCCGTCATTTCCTTTCCTGTTGTAGTCGGATGTTTGGATTGGAATACCAATCCAAAAGAGGGTATATAGGATTAGATTACTACGGAAGAACAGTCGGAATCAAGATAATGCCAGTTGGAATCCATATGGGACAGATAGAATCTGTGATGAAAACTGATAAAGAATCAAGAACCAAGGAACTAAAGCAACAATTTGAAGGAAAAAACGTGTTGCTTGGAGTTGATGACATGGACATCTTCAAAGGCATCAATCTGAAGCTTTTAGCAATGGAACAAATGCTTAAACTACATCCATCTTGGCAAGGAACAGCTGTTCTTGTCCAAAGTGCAAATCCAACTAGAGGTAAAGGTGGAATACATTTGGAAGAAATTCAAGCTGAAATTCAAGAAAGCTATAAACGTATAAATGAAGAATTCGGTAAACCCAGGTATCAACCAATTGTTTATATAGACAAACCAATGTCAGTTAATGAAAGGGTTGCTTATTACAGTATAGTTGAATGTGTTGTGGTGACAGCTGTAAGAGACGGAATGAATTTAACTCCATATGAATACATCGTATGTCGAGAAGGAATTCCCAATTCCAATTCCGATTTTGATTCCGGTCCCAAGAAAAGCATGCTAGTGGTATCGGAGTTTGTGGGGTGTTCTCCTTCTTTGAGTGGTGCAATTCGTATCAATCCTTGGAATGTTGAAGCAACTGCTGAAGCAATGAATGAAGCTATATCAATGGGAGAACCTGAGAAACAAATGAGACATGAGAAGCATTATCGATATGTGAGTACACATGATGTGGCTTATTGGTCTAGAAGCTTCTTGCAAGATATGGAAAGAAGTTGTGCAGATCATTTTAGGAAAAGATGTTGGGGAATCGGTTTAGGTTTTGGGTTTAGAGTTGTGAGTCTTGATCCGAACTTCCGGAAGCTTTCGATTGATGATATTGTATCAGATTACTTAAAGGCTAAACGAAGGGCAATTTTGTTGGATTATGATGGAACTGTAATGCCTCAAAATTCCATTATTAAGACACCAAGTAGAGAAGTTATTTCACTTCTGAATAGGCTTTCTAGTGATCTGAATAATACGGTTTTTATTGTTAGTGGAAGAGGTAGGGAGAGTTTAAGCAAGGCTTTTTCTCCATGTAGGAAGCTTGGAATTGCAGCTGAACATGGCTACTTCATAAGGTTAGTATTATCATTATCGCCTGTGCTTTTTATATGTAACTTATGAAAAGGACGTCAATTCCCCTGGGGTTTGTTTTTTTTTTCAGGTGGTGTCAAGATGTGGAGTGGGAGACGTGTGGTCAAAGTAGTGATTTTGGATGGATGGATATGGCTAAACCTATCATGAAACTATATACAGAATCAACTGATGGATCATCTATAGAAACTAAAGAAAGTGCTTTAGTTTGGCAATATAGAGATGCAGATCCAGGGTTTGGATTTGCTCAAGCAAAAGAGATGCTTGATCATCTTGAAAGTGTTTTGGCAAATGAACCTGTTGTTGTTAAAAGTGGTCAATATATTGTGGAAGTTAAACCTCAGGCATGTCCTTTGTCCTTATTCACTTTGTTATAATCTTGAAAGTGTATTGAATATTGATCTTTTTTTTGTTGCAGGAAGCAAGTAAAGGTCTTGTTGCAGAAAAGATCTTCATATCAATGGCTGAAAATGGGAAACAAGCTGATTTCGTGCTTTGTGTGGGTGATGATCGATCTGATGAAGATATGTTTGAAATAATTGGGAATGCAATTTCAAGAAATATAATTTCTGTTAATACTATGGTTTTTGCATGCACAGTTGGACAAAAACCAAGTAAAGCAAAATATTATCTTGATGACACCAATGAAGTTATTTTAATGCTTCAAAGTCTGGCTGAAGCTACCGACTCTCCCGTGTTATCTGAAGATGAAAATTGTAGGTCCCATTATCCTTAAAAGAATTTCATCTTTAAATTTTTAAAGGTAGTACTAATTAATTATTATTCTTTTTTCTATTGAATAATTGCATATTATTTGTCTATATACATTCTTTTACATAGATGAGGTCATAGGTTTAGTGTATTCGTTTCAAGAAGTAGTAGCTAGTGTATTTTACTTTCATTGATTTGTTTATTGTAGCATTTTGCTTTCGTTTCCTCCTCCTATTATTTGAATAATTTATAGCAATTTCATCCAAGTACAAAAGGAATTTTCACTGCTATGATTGGTAGTTATTTCAACAATATAATGTCTTAATAAGAAAAAAAAAACTAAAAGTACAATGTTATTTGGGTTTAAAGAAAGAGAAGTTTAAGTATAATTATATAATTGTGTAGATTCTTCAAAGTACAATGCTATAATTGGTATTCTACTATCTAGTCCTTTCACAAAAAAGAAAACCTACAAACTGGGCATCTACCATGGGTTCTCACCCAAGGCAAGATACACTACTCATGAAACGTATGATTACATGGTGTCACCATCACCACTTGTTTTGCTTCTAAGTCTTCTAAGCATATGACACACCTTTTATCATCATCATCGTCTTCTTCGTGTGCTTCTTCTATTGTCTCTCCACCATCCTTTTGTGAGTAAAACCTACCCAACCTTTGTATAATCTTCTTAGGAACACGATTGTAAATCTCTTTCCTAAGCTTCTCTAAAGCTTTTGTTTTATTGTTTGAATCACGTGTTTGTGTCTGTGTTTGTGTTTGTGTTCGTGATCGATTCGTTTGTCTTGACCTCAAATTCGTGTGGTTTGCCAAATTGTTTTGCAACACCACAAGATGCATTTGAGGTTGTGGGAAACTGAAAATTTTTGCATCTAACAATATGTATGTTAAATATGATTACAAAAACTATATTGCTATGATATGAATTCACTATATTTCCATATCAAGTAGTAAGAACTAGGAAGAGGGGAAAAGTCATTAAAAGATGAATATGGGAGACTATAAGAAAGGGGATCACCTCATTATGGAGGAAGGTAAAGTGAAGATTCTATCCTCAAGTGACCACAACCATGGATCAATATCAACTCTTTCATTCTGCAAAATAAAATATTTATTCATACATAATTCGGGTAGTTTAAAAGTGACATGCTAAAATAATTTATACACAAATGTTTGGGATTTGCTAATAATAACCTAAAGGTGTCAAATTTTGAATCATGATCACCCAAATAAAATATTTCCACAAGAAAGGAAGAAAAAGCGAGATACCAATTTCACTAAAATATTTCTATAATGATATGTTAGAGAAGAATAATAACCAGGATATGAGGAAAGAGACGTGATGGTGGAGATATAATGTCTAAAAATGAGTCTCTATCCTCGTTGTACCATGCATATGCATTTTTGGTAGGTTGCAAAGACTCTTGAGTATTGATGTTGTTGTGGTTGCTCATTATGTTAGAGACATGTAAATCTTTTGTTTTCCTATTAAAGGCTTATATAAGATGTGCTTGAAGAAGTGTTGCCTCTTCCAAGTATATATGCCTTCATTATTTTGTGGTTGATTTGAACTTTGATTCTATGCCCTTCCCACTTAATTGAGAGATTCTTGCTTAATTAGAATGTTGTTTTTCTGTCTATAGAATCTATGTGGTTCTGTTAGCATTTATCGATATTTTTCTCTTAAGAATAGAAAAAATAAGGATTAAATGCACATGTATGAAACAGTATTCCAAAGAAGTGGTTTTTATATGAAATATGTGATACCGTTTTTTCTTTTTGTGTGTGTGTGTGTGTGTGGGGGGGGGGGGGGGGGGGGGGTTGAGGGGGGTCAAAAGAGCCACATCAATAGTGGGTTACAACGTGGTTATATAATTTGTATCAATTACGTAGTGATGAAAAAAATTAAACAATATAGGGCAAATTGGTAAATAATAAAGCATTGTTACATAAATTAATGAAAAAAATAAAGCATTACTGCATAAATAAGTGGTTTAACTAATCTATATCTATACGATATGAGACAATTGTTCTGATTACAGTTGTTGCATTAGCTGCTCCTAAAATTAAACGTCTTCGTAAATAAAACTTAAATTAGAAAAGTATGAAATGTCTATTAATTAGCCCCGTAATAAATTTGTTACAAGGTTAAAAAGGATACAAATTTAAAATTCATTAAAATAGACTCTTCAATATTGTTTTGTTCATATGAATAATTGATATATTAATGCCGATTACAAACACTATCGTTAATACAATAATCGAAATGGATGCCACCAAAACTTAAGTAAAAGGATTTTTAAAACATTTTGATATTTTGATGTGTTGGCTTGTGTGTATTTTTATTTATTTGAAATTTTGCATCATATTAAATATTATATAATTCGAGTAGATCCGTTTGGTTTAGTTTCTATATTCAGAAAACATTTATTACATATCTTTAAATATTAAAATAGAAACTTTGTGATATCACTTTCAACAATCAGGGTTATTGATTTGTTTTATTAATATATTTTCTACCGTTAGATCGTTATGCTAACATCATCATTTGATCAACCTTTTTCTTTGGTCCACCAATTTTATGCAATCTATTAATGATAATTACTTTTAACATTAGGAAATCTATTAATTACAATTAAATCTAACCAAAAATAAAATTATTTTTAAAATTAGAAAATCTATTAATTTCAATTAAATCTCACCAAAAATAAAATTATTTTTAAAATCAGGAAATCTATTAATAACAATTAAATCTCACCAAAAATAAAATTATTTTTAAAATTAAGAAATTTATTAATGACATCATAATTTGGTCAACCTCACCTCTCATTACCCATTTCTTTTGTTCTGGTTTGAAAATCACTAACACAGTCATTATTTTCTTTTCAATTTATTGCAAGGAAGAATATCTGAAGATCAATGGTGCTGGAAGATACATAAGAAAGATTTTCCCACTAATTTCAATAATGTGTACATCTTCTTTCACAACGATTCAATCGATTCTCGCTTCAACGACCTCGAATCCAGATACAATTTCTCTTGCCATGTCTCTATGCGCAGACAATCCATAATCTTATCTCTTTGATTCCTCCTTATGTAACCTCGAATCTCTTTCAGCTTATGATCACAACCGCAAACACTCATCTATTTCGTCTCCTTCCCATTCTTCATATTTCTTGTGTTTCACCTTAGGGCTCTCCTTCTTCCAGTCGGTTATTTGTTTCTCTGCACAACGACTTATAATTGATTTGTTATGTTTCGATTTCTTGTGTTTATTTCTCAATTTTGATGAAAAAAAAAACTTAATTTCTACCCTTGCTTTCAAGAATTAAGGGAATCGCCGCTCCTTTTTCACCTCCCACTTTCTATCTGTTGCAGAAACTAGAAAGACAACATACACACACAGTTAACATGTTCGTTTTTTTTATTTATTCATAGGTTTGTTTTCTACACCACTCCAACCTCTTGCTTTGCATTTTATACGATTTTTGTTACTGTTTTCTTCTTTTCCCTCATTTTTTTCACCATTTTCTGTTTATATAGATATAGCTTTTGTGTGCTTACTTTTTTCTTCAAGGCTATCTTGGTGTTGATTTTGGGTTTTTGTTGAGCACAATTATGATATGTGTTCTTGATGTCAACTGGCATTCACTCAGTACCTCAGGAATATCTAACACTTACAAATACCATTTTTTTTATGGTATCAGCAAATGAAGATAAACAAAAAAGGGAATAAAAAAGGAGTCATTTGCATTAGGTAGCAATTCAATCATCAAATATGTTTCTTGCTAGAGTTTTTTGTTGTTATTGACGGAACAAGTAATATGATAGTTAAATATATCTCTTTTTTGTATTTGCTTTTAGTTGTAGAAAACAATAGAATAAACAAAGAAGTTGTCGTCAAAAGATATTAGGTGAGTTATCCAGAGTTCATATTGATTGAGTAATTGGTAAAATAATATAAAAAGTGGTCAACATTTATCTGTATAATCATAAAAAATAGAAGTGGTCAAATAATTTCATAATTTTGCCTCTAAAATAAAATGGAACTTTTCTTTTGGACTAAAAAAGGGTATCAAAAAACTCCCAAAATAAGACGCCAAACACTTAGATGAACACGCTCATTAAAAAAAAATAAAAAATGCTTTTATTTTCTACTGAATTTTTAATATATTTTTCCTATTTTATGTAGATACCAACTAGTTTCTTTCATGTTGATCGTCATCCTAGAAACCTTGTAATTGGCTCGGATGAATAATGAATCATGAATCACTAATATATTGTGATTTTGGTATGATGAGGGAGATTAAATCCTTGACCAGAAAAAGATTGATAGATCTTTTCATGCAATTTATGAAAAAGTTGCAAAAAATGTATGAATTTTTTTATTTATTTTTCTAATACTGTAAAGCAGGGACACAATAATGTAGTTTTTTAGGTACTCAAATAGAATTTATACGTGGATTAAGATTAAAAAGTATTATGGTATCATTACAGATTATGAACAATTTCATAAGTCTTGAAGCGCTTCAACCCATTGGAGACATGTCGTCAATATGTAAAAGTTGAGTAAAGAAGTGTGAGAAAAATATTTGAAACTCTGAAGCATTTGAGGTTATTAGGTATTTATTGTATGCAGTTCTTTAGTTTATATTCATATCCTTAAGCCGTTATTAGATGCTTAAGCTATTGAGACAAAAAAAAAAATTGTAATGACCGTGTACTATCAAAGTTTATCATTGGGAAGATTTGGGATTTTTATGTATCAAAGGTTTATTATCAAAACAAAATATATCCACTTCTAAGAATTTATAAAATTTATATATTTTTCATTATAACCAACGAAAGAATGGAGTTTTACCATCAAGTTCCATTTGGCCTTATTTCTTACTTTCTTAGATAATATATCATCAAGGTAATGGGATACAATCCCCTTCATTGGAATAAAAAACCAACCGTGAGACACTATACTTGGGAATTATTTTAGTTAGGTCATTCTTAAGATTCTTACATTTGAAGACCAAACGCGTTCTAACCTTATTCCATAATATACATGCTTTCTAAAAGTGCAATTCTTATCTGATTTATATGGTTGTATAACTTTATATTTTTTTAACAGAAGCAAGAATCGCACATGAGCCGAAGTATGTGTAAAAGGGATATGAAAGTGGATGTTACCCAAAAATGGATGTTGGAAAATCAATTATGTATCCTTCACTTGCATTAACCAATACATTTGCTTCCCAAGATCCAATATAGTTAAGTCAGATGCATATGTTGTCAAAAAAGGTCTCAAGTTTGGCTTATTTATTTGTTTTTAATTTCCTTATAGATAAATTGACATTTGCATTATTAAAATGATGTATGTGTGAAGTAAGTATGAATAAAAAGCGTTCTTTTTTGCAGCCATCTAAAGTTTGGTAAATGACCCTTTTACAGTTCTTTTTAGGGTGTTTTATTTTCATTATTTTGTAAAATCTTTTAACTTTTGCTTTACAGGAGTATTGATTATGGACTACACATCTATACGAATTATTCTAACTTCTTGACAACTCAATATGAAGTCAACTCATAGGAATTCGACATTCAAAAAGCTTTTTCACTTGCCACCAAATGAATTTCTCATCGGTGATTTTGTCATGCTCTCCATGAGAAAATTAGCCCTTCAGGTATACTCGGACGGTTGGATTTGATCATAGACTGCACATCTACACGAACTAGTTCCTTATTATAGTTTCCAATTCATTTTTGAAGAGTAGACTCTTCCTATATTCAAGAACTGTTGAGTTTTATGCCAACTTATTGGTGCACAAAACAAGGTTTTCAATGCAACTGTTTTTTATTCTTTTATTTGTTCTTTTAGTGTATGATACAAAATTAGATGAGTTAGGCCAATGTTATGAGCTATCATTTTAGGGTTTTATACCAATTGTAGCCTTGTACTCCAAATTTTTTTCATACAACGAAATTATGTTGTTTTTCCTTTTGTTAATCCCAAAAGAACTTAAATGGAAATGAAAAATAACAGCTAATTCAATTACAAATACAACTTATAACATTTCAGATTCTTGAGGACATTTGACAATTTTCATATAGGTCGCATTCGTGTTCACCAGGTTACACTTGTTTGCCAACTCAAGAAAAAGGATTATTTTTCCCCTTGACTAAAATTGACTTATATTTGGAGATATGTATAAATTGATTCAAATACCCTTAATAAACTTTATGATAAACACACGACAGACAAACACAAGGGTGTTGTCGTAACTAGAGTTAAAAATAGATTTACTTACAGGATTCTTGAAAATGCATTTAAGTTATTTGCTAATGTCCAATGATCATCAACACCAGTTTTTGGTAACTTCATCACCTTAGAAAGTTGAACAATAACATCAGAGGGGAGAGGAGTGTAAACATCATATATGTCTGGAACTAAGAAAATCAATAGCTGCAATAAAAAATGCAAAAGAGCTTGAAGGAATAATTCTTTTTGACAGGTTAATTTTTTTTTTTAAAATAACTTGTTGTAATGAGTCAAATGTAATTCCCACAAGTGTTTGAGGACCCTCCTACACCAATCATATTATTATTATTACAAATCAATAAAACACTAACTTGAAGAAAATAAAAAAAGTTGTAATTTTTATTAAAAACACATGAACTTACTGGAAGATCATTAACAAATCGACTAATAGCACTAAAAGCTCTAAATGTAGCACCAATTTGTATTGCATTAATTGATACATCAACAAGAAAAAAAAAGACAACTGACATTGGTTCCCGAACCTAAGAAGAGTATAAATTAAAAAGATATCGTATTGACGGTACTCATATGTGACAAGGTCGTCCAACTAATAAAACAAAAAACGTTGTTTACAAAGAGGTCCTTCTTCAGTTATAAATATTAAAGCATTTCATTGTTTTTTCAATGTTACCAATAAAACTAATTCTATTTTTGTTACTTTCTTATTAAATATTGTGCCAATTTTTTATACTTTTATATGTATTTTTTATATGTTCTCCGCGTTTTACGTGGGTCATAATCTAGTTTACTAATTAAACACATTATAATCCGGTAATTATTAATTTAATATACATTATTAATTCATAATAGTTATTAACTTATTTTAATTCTTCTTATTATTAACATACCCATGAAAAAAAAAATGAGTGTTTTCATCCCCCGTCCCTACTTTATTTTTTATTTTTGTTTGAGATCAAGAACGGCCATCCTCTCCAAATCAGTGATTTTCTGAAAACCCACACTTCTCTCATGTATCTCATCGTTACTTAAGGTTCGATTCTCCGCAGCTATGTCAAGCTCATGGATTCTTTGTTTTAGATTTTTTAGCTCCATCTTCTCTTTTGGGAACTCAGTGATTCTCCATTTCTTGATTGCATTTTTTAGATATTTTAATTTTGCCAGTAGAAACATGCCAGGGGTCCCATAGCCAATAAAAGTATCCCAGGTTTCAGTAACAACTTTATCAAATCCTTCTCGGTTCATTCATGAATTAAAGAACCTAAAAGGAGGTTTCCCAAAATCTTAAGTCGACGTTCGGAGAAGGATTGGGCAATGGTCCGAGAGCTCTCGGGGTGGGACCGTCACAAAGGTAGAAGGAAATCGATCCATGAATTTAGGGCTCACAAGGAAACGATCAAGCTTGCTCATCTTTCAACTCGTTTGGTAGAAGAAAGTGTACTTGTGTCCACCCATACGAAGGTCACATAGTTATGCTTCACCAATGAATCAATTGAATTCGTATGCAGTGGAGGGGCAGAACTGCAAATTGAATCTCTCATCAGGCCTTCGTATTGTGTTGAAGTCCCCCATCACTATCCAGGTTCCTAGTGTTTCTCTTTTTATTTGTAGCGGGTCTTCCCACAATTTATGTTTTCCAACCGATGATTGTGGTCCATTTACATTAGCGATTATTATCCTCTCCTGAATTCTCATCCAGGTTCCAATGGTGATTAGGAAATACTTGGTTTTGATTACATCTTCCACTTTGTAAATATGTTTATCCCACATGCTTACCAGTCCTCCAGACTTGCTAGTAGTGTGAATGGAAAAGAAACCATAGTTCATGGAGCCCCAACAACCTTCCACATCAATGTTATCTGAGTCTACTAGTTGTGTTTCTTGTAATCCGATAAAGGAGATATGATTTTAGTTTTTTAAACACCTTACCCATGAGATCTTGGGTACCTCGTCGATACCTAGTATGTTTGAACTGAGACAATTCATCGGGATTTCTTTGTTCTCCTATTTCACCCATTGCTTCCTTTAGGATGGGATTATCCATCTCTATGTCAATCCAAGCTCTTTCCCAATTTCCACTGTTTTCTGGGCTTCGAGTGTGAGGTGATAATACTCATATACTTTAGGTTCATAGGGGGCGACTAAGCTTCTATTTAGGTTTAAGTGAGGTGACTGGGGATGTGTGCTTGTTTGTTGCTAAGTGTGATGAAGTTCCTTGCAATGGATCATAGTAGTTTTATTCATCCTGAGCGGAACTGTTAGAGGGAGCGAAGACAATAGCGAGAAGGGGGTAAGCTATTTGATTCACATTTCCTGGATTTTCTACCAATTAAGGGATCCATGTTGTATATTGGTTCATTCTCCACTGTTTGGGCTAGATGGTAATTTTCCGGAAAAGGCCCAAACAGCCCATAGGATCTAGACATTCAAGTAGACCGCTTCCCTCAGTCGGTAATGAGGTATTCAAGGGGTACGTGGTCGTAATTCCCCCATCACACGTAGTACAGGTGTCATTTTTGTTTTCTCTTGTATTTAATTCTTCTTTATTATCATGTTCTAGACTGACTTCTCCATTACCCAAGGTCCCATGTTTCCAATGAAAGTCCTTTTGTCTTCCATTTCTGTATGTTGACCGTCAGGTGATCCTTCATCTTCTCCGGTGACTTCCTAAGTTTCCGGCACCAATTCATCCTTTGCATTCTCTGCCATTGTTTTCACCTTTTCGTTTTCATCAGGTTTCCGGATTGTGCTCGTGTCATTTTGTAATATCTCACCCTCTTCTGGTTCCTCTACATCATCGGCCATCTATGTATCTGATATACCTTCATCATCATCTTCGTTCACTCTCATCCTCATAAAAATCTTCTATGAATCCTCGTCAAATTTTACAATGCCAACCTTGAATAGTTTCTCTTCTGTGGTTACAGTGATTTCCTCGTTTATCCTATCATGTCTTGATGTTATTATCCCAATTTTAATACATGAGAGATCGGCCCGATGATAAACATCATCAAAGGGGGCAATCGTCCTTCCATACCAGCCAGTGATGGAGGCAAAATTCCTATCACCCCACAACTTCAGTGGTAGCCCCCACTACTAGAAAAACAGCCTTTTACGATGCACAATGCGCGTCGTAAAACGCTCAGACGACGCCTAAAGGCGTGTCAAGGAAGGCCCTGTCATAACGAGAGACGACACGCTTTTACGCATCGTCTATAGACGACGCGCATTTACGACACACATTTATGACACGCAATTATGACACTTATTTACGACACGTAATGCGTATTAAGGAAGGCCCTATCATAAAGGAAGACAACACGCATTTGCGTATCGTAACCTTACGATGCGTGTTTAGGACACGCATTGCGTATCATTAAAGCCCCTGTCATATATGAATATGACACGCATTTGCGTGTCGTAAACTTTAACAACCATTTACGATATACATTTACAACGCGTCTTTACGATACTTATTTACGCATAATACAAAAATATGGAAACAAATATATACCAAAACAATCAATTTCATCCAATAACATCATATCAAACAAGTTATCAAAAAATTGTTATACATTGATATTAAGGTGATCTAATAGTATATTGTTTTTAAGAGGTTTTCCCAAACTATATAACATGATACTACATCCCTAACTATATAACCTCGTCCTTCATGTCATTGGTTTTCCACCTAGTGTACCATGTAAAAATGCTAAAGTGGGTGTCATGGGCGGCTGTCCACCGGGCGTGGATGGAAAGTAAGTGCTTGAAGCATTAATTGAAACAAAATAACTTGTATTAATCACACAATCAACAAACTTTAGAAGTACCTTATAAGCAATACGACTAAAGGATTGTATTGTTCCTGATCTCATAATTGTAACAAATCTTTTTGTTCGTCCCAATACGACTAAAGGGTTGTATGTCAAATTTGAAATGTCTAATTATAGATTGCTATAATAACAACTATATGTTTAATAACTCTACATTTATTCCCTACTTTCATCCTAATGGTTGTTATATATTGTATTAAAGAGTGTACATCTGGTCAAGAGGAAGTACCTGAGTTGGATTCATGGTAGCAAAAAGCTTTGATGCAACTGCTATATCTGAGAGAGAAAGAGCAGCATATACTTCATTGAGAAAAGAAAATGAAGGAAACCATTTTTGACTATTCCACCGGTAGCTCATTTTTTACTATTCCACCCGGTCAGATTTGAACAAAAAATAAACTACTGAAAATAACTATTTTACCCTTCTTAATCCTCTTCTACCAGAAAATAAGATTAGATTTGAGCAACATTCACTTGTGATGATTTGATTTTATTGGAGCCGCTTCTGCTTACTGCTTATTGCTTAGAGAAAGAGAAAAAGAAAAAGAAAGAGAAAGAATGTAGTACAGTAGAGTAGAGTACCTTGAGCATTTCATTTTTTCGACTTGATGCTACTGATTCTAGCTCATGTAGACAAGCCTTGGCCAATGTTATTTCCTGATCCTTCTCTATGTTCATCTATTGGACTAAATTCCCAACACATCTCAATGGTGAACTACCCTTTCCTATCACCAAGCTTTTTTCCAATAATTGTGCTTCTAGGCTAGACTTTGATGGACCTGTCTTCATTAAAATAACCATAACTTCCAATAAATGTGTTTCTTATGCTTACTTTTAGTTCATAACATTTAGAAACAACATAACAAAGTTATATGCTTTTCTACCTTCTGCTGATACTGTAAAGCTCGAGCTTCTGCATGGATTACAAGTTAAGATATATACTCTTTACATTGCTTCATCTGCAAAACAATTCCAAAAAATCAATCATACAAACAAATATGTCATGGTTTTCCATTTTTTAGGGTCCAACCTCATTAGCTTGTTTTTGGAAGCATATTAAATAATGAAAACTTAAAGAGAAGTTATCACTCATCAACAATAGTGGAAGAAAAAAAAAAGGTAACCTGTTTTATCAAATAGGGAAGATCTGGAGCTCTTCCAGAGATTTCATTGTTAGCAACAGCATAGTCAATACCTATGTAATTGTCAATATGTATCATAGTCAGTAATTAAGAGAAATATATAAGTTCTATAGTTCAATAGTTTACAATCCTACATAAATAAAGTGTAGCTCTTTCTTGAACAAATGATAATGTTCTTTTTTCCCAAATCACATGAACTTTTCAAAATCAACTTCTATAAAGTGTAGCTCTTTCACACATGGTTGATCAGTACAAGCTGTATGGTCGTCTTCTCGGTTGATGTTAATTTTGGAACAACATATCAGTGATACAACCAAGGAATTCATCCATTGTTGAGACAAGAAAGTATGAATAACATTGTTATCTACCAATATTATTTTCGGGATATCACTAATTCTTTCTAATTTCAGTATTTTACCTCTAGAAGTGATCTCTGTGTAAACCTAAGTAATTCCTTTTTTGCATCTCTCTTTCCATTCCGTTCTATTATGCGAGCGTACCCCTTCATCCCGTTGAAGGACTTGAGTCGCTTTTGATGAAGGAAACCCATAGAAACGTTGATCAGGGTTTAAGTTGGGTAACACGCTTTGGATCTTCTGTTTCTCGGTCGTGGGCCTAGACATCTTTTCCCCTCTACAACCAGTCCAACCCAACATAGATGGATCTTGAGTTGAATAATGCATTGGACTTAGTCCAATGTTTGGCAGATTACAAAAATGATGGGACAGAGTACCGACCAACAGAAATAACCCCTCCTCGACGTCGTTGAGGAATTAGATTATTGCATAACATAACAAGATAACAAAAGCACTTACAGGAAATTGAAGTATGAGGCGGAGTTTTAGGGTTTCTTTTGATCGATGAAGATTTTAGGAACTTCAAGTATGAAATTATCGGTCTTTTACACACAATGCTTTTAGGGTTTCTTTTGATTAAAGAGGATTCTACAACATACGAAGAAGAAGAAGGACGAGAGTATCAAGGCAGGGTTTTTGATTTTTTGGATTTCATCTCCCCCCTGGCAATTAAAAAAATTGGAGAACGCGCGTTCATAAACAAAAATATAAAGCGACAGTTTTAGACGACACGCTTTTTTATGGTAGGTGCCCTCCGTGTTTTTAATTTTTTTTGTTGGACACTATTTTTAGGGCACGCACAAATGTGTGTCCTCTATCCTTCAAATTTTGCAAAACTGACATTATTTTTTAAGGCACACCCAAATGTGCGTCCTCTATCAATCCTATGGTGTACATGCAAGCCCTAATAGCGTTGGATCTAGTTTGTCTAATGAACATGCAATTGATAATCCAAAGCCATAAACCCTAGATATAACAAACTATAATTGAAATTAGGGTTTAGATCTTACCTTTGATTGTTATATAGTAATAACAATCAATCCTTAGCTTCAAAAAGCTTAGTGTCTCAAGTGTTGCACCTCTAATGGAGTCACAAACACCACTACGCAACAAGATGAAGAAGAGAAGAAAGGAGGCTGCCAAAATCGTCCAAAAACCCTAATCCAAGAGTTTACCACGTTTTTGGTGCATAGAGGGCATTTATATAGGTGTAGGCTATTAGGGTTTACAACTAGGAAACCCTAATCTGGCTGCTTAAACCCTAAGCAGCCCATGGACTCTTTTAACATATCCCTTGGATGAATTCTTTATGGGCTTCCCATAGAATTCGTCCAACCTATATTATTTAGGTAATCTGTAGCCCAATTGCAATTATCTTATAATTACAAATCCGGTCCCCTAAGTTTAATTAATCTTTTTCAGCCACAAAATTAATTCTTGACTAATATTAATTAAACAATATGATTTCTCCTTTAATATATTATTCTCATAATATATTAATAAATCATAATTAATCATTTCTCACCTTAATTCATCCTACCTAATGTTATGGTGAAGGCAACCCAAAAGGACGATGAGCATAATCGTGTCAAGTACATACCAAAATAGTTATGGACTTAGACACTAATACAACATAATCTACATTAATATATCAAATAAGCTTAAAAATTAAGTGTAAAATTTAAAACCTAAAGTAAAATATCAAATAATGTTTAGAATAAAATCAATTTATATAGTTTTTTAACATAGTTAAAAGGAAAACATTAAATATAATAACTATAAATGAACCTAAATCTATGAATCGAATTAACTAAAAGTTTATGAAAACTATATTTTATAATAACTAAAATTCAATTAAGTTGTTTTTAAATTAATTTATAATAATAATAGTTGAAAATAATAGAAACTTAGAACTTAAAATATGTTAGATTACAAACAGTTGTTGCTAATTTAAATAATCATCATGATGAAATTAAAACACCGTCAAATTTTTTTTAAATTAATAAATCATAACAGTAGTACATTAAAATAGTTGACAAATATAACTAATATTATATACACGTAAAACATAAGTAGAAACCATTAAATGATTTGATTTTAATAAGCATTATTTTATCTATTGCTCAAATTAATTATAATTTTATACAAACTAAATGTAATAATAATTATTTTACAGTTAATGGATAGTCTATTATAAAAGTCCAATCTCTTTGAGTAGACACACAAATACCAATCACATACAAAATTCACAAAGAAAATAAGTTTAAAGGTTTTGGTGTTGGTTTGAGGGCTTAGAACCATTTTTCGAGCCATGTTATTACGTTAAAGTTTTTAGTTTGTAAGTTTGTTATATACTAATTCTTTTTAGTTTATTTTATTTTTCTTGCTTTATGCATTCTTGTATGACAATCATTGTATGTTGTGGTTGAATTTTAATGTAATTAAATTAGTTTCATGTTATCGATCATATGTTATGGAATATGATATAGATAATATTTAATTAAATATTGTATATATGTATGTATGTTTGTGCTGCTTTAAAGCAATAATTAATTAGAAATCATGGATATCTCATATTATCCATGTAAGTCTTTTTAAAAATGCAAATAGTTTATCTTATCACTTTATATTTTAGTATATATTTAACATTTTAAGTATAATAATAAGTGTTTTTAAAAGTTTTCTTTCACTTATTAATAATAATAAGTAGTTTCAAAATTAACGAACAATAGTTATAAATAACAAAATCAAAGTATAAAAATCATGGATATATCATATTATCCATGCAAGTCTCTTTTGAAATGCAAATTGTAAATCTTATCACTTTATTATTTAATATATGTTTCATATTTGAATAATAATATTAAGTGTTTCTTAAAAGTCTATTAATAATAATAAGTGGTTTAAAATTAATGAATAATAATTTTAAATGATAATTACATAAAATTATAAATTATATAACGTTAGCTACAAATAATTGTATTTTAATTGAACATCATTAATGAATTACAAAATAATTGAATAAGTAAAAATATAAATTAATCAATTATAACAATTGTTAAAAATAATATTAAATATATAATTATATTTAATTCTATTAATGAAGAAGGTGGGTTGATGTCAATAAATATTATTGTTCAAAATAGTAGAGATTATATATATATATATATATATATATATATATATATATATATATATGTATGTATATATATATATATGTATGTATGTATATATATATATATATAGGGTAAAGTGAATATACCTAACAACCTTATATAAGCTTAGGTACCTAACCACATCATACTACGTAATTGTGTATCATATTTGCATTGTAATCACCCAAAGTTCTTAAAATTCAACCTCATAACTTGATTGCTTCCAAAATCTTTGGACTTTCACCATTATCTTCCTTCAAATGACGTCATTCTATCGGACACCCCCTGGTGGGCTTCATATACTACCGTTTTAAATCAAATGGTGTAGGAAGAATATAATGATGAATATCTGAAAATATTGGAAGTAAATCAAGTTAAGGGTTGAAGTTTAAGAACCTTAGATTATTATAATGGAAATATAATGCAAAACAATGTAGTATAATGTGGTTAGGTACCTAAGCTTATATAAGGTTGTTAGGTATATTCACTTTACCCATATATATATATATATATATATATATATATATATATATATATATATATATATATATATATATATATATATATATATATATGTTAGTGTAAAAATATTATGTCAAAGTTAATGTCAATAACATAACCATTAAAAAAAATTATATTTTTCAATATTCTAACAATATATTTTTAACCTGCGTCGCGCAATGCGCGGGAATTCATCTAGTATACTTATATATGAAGCATTTTTTTTCACCACATTCATTTGAAACTCCCATTTATTTTTTCCTTTCACCACATTCATTAGAAACTCTCATGACTTTTCAAGTTCTTTCTAATAATTATTATAATTTGGTTAATTAGGTTAAATAAATATCAAACCAAAAGTGTAATATTATATAAACTAAATTTCAATATTAAAGTAATGTCTTTACTTCTACTTATAAAGTTAAGTTTTTTTAACTTTTAACATATTATACTTTTATAAGTTTTAATATATTTTTGGATGTAAACCGTTATTATTTTAAAGATAAAATTTTGGAAGACAATTTGTATAAAAATACTTAAATTATTGATTTAAATATAACATTACATGGTCAACTTAAATATAAGTTTTAGTTTAACTTAAACAACCCAAAGAATATTTTGTAAATAGTTAAAAATGATAAATTGTAGTATCTTTCTAACAATGATTATAAACTGGTTAATAAGGTTAAATAAATATCAAACCTAAACTGTAATCATAAATATACTAATTTTTAATTTTAAAATAATATATTTACTTCTACTTATAAAGTTATGTCTTTAACTTTTAATATATTATACTTAATTTATTAGATTTAATTTGTTGTTATATGTAAACAATTATCAGTTTAACGCTATAACTTTTGAACAGTTTGGATAAAATACTTAAATTGTTAACTTAAATATAACATTACAATATCAACATAAATATGAATTTTAGTTCCACCTAAAAACCAAAGAATATTCTATAAATAGTTAAAAGTGATAAATTTTAATTATAAATGCAAAAACTAAATTGTAATCTCAATTTAACTAAAAATATTTCCTAAATAAGTAGCTTAAAATAGTTTATACTAACAATAGCTAAAAATAACTCTATATAAATGATTATGTTGTAACCTTTAACATCAAAAAGTAATGTTTGATGTTATAAATAATTATAATTATAGAAATTAAAACATTAAGAAAATAAATTTAAAAAAGTTAATTAACAATAACAACTATAAATAACAATAAATCATATATTATATTTAATTTTATTCATGTGTGACTTGCGGGTATAATTCGTTCAAACAATTGAGATTATGAAGTTATAATATATGTATGTATTATCATATAATTGAAAATAATCAATATATTATATCAATTTAGTATACGAATTATTATATCATATTTAACAAAAACGTTATTGTTATTTTAAAAATAAAAACATATATTTGTAAAGACTTAAACTATATAGGTGTTTGTGCGCATCATAATGTCAACTTAAATATAAATTTCAGTTCCATTTAAAAAAACCAAAGAATATTTTTTAAATAGTTAAAAGTGATAAACTATAGTGATAAATCCAAAAACTAAATTGTAATCTCAATTTAACTAAAATATTTCCTAAATATATTTTTATAATCGTTAAAACTTTCAAAATAAGTAGCTTAAAATAACTTACAATAAGAATAGTTAAAAATAACTCTATATAATTGATTAGATTGTTACCTTTAAAATCAAAAAATAATGTTTGATTTTTAAATAATTATAATAATATAAATTAAAACATTAAGCAAATAAATCTTAAAAAATTAATTAACAATAATAACAACTATAAATAACATTAAACCACATATTATATTTAATTTTATTAATGTGTAACTCGCAGGTAGATATCATTCAAATGATTGAGATTATGAAGTTATAATAGATTTATATATTATCATATAATTCAAAATAATTAATATATTATATAAATTTAGTATACAAATTATTATATCAAATTTAATAATGTTATTGTTATATTTAAAATATATATATATTTGTAAAGACTTCAACCTTATAAGTATTTGTGCGCAACGTGCGGACATACGTCTGGTATACTTATAAAGGAAGCATTTTTCTTTTCACCGCATTCATTTGAAACTCTCATGACTTTTCAAATTTCTTTCTAATAATAATTATAAGTTGGTTAATAAGGTTGAATAAATATCAAACGTAAAGTGTAATCATATATAAACTAAATTTACATTTTAAAATAATATATTTAGTTATACTTAAAAAGTTATGTTTTTTTTACTTTTAACATATTATACTTAATTTATTAGTTTTAATATATTGTTGGATGTAAACCATTATCATTTTAAAGATACAATTTTGGAACATTTTGTATAAAATTCTTAAATTATTAGTTTAAATATATATTACAGGGTCAACTTAAAAATAAATTTTAGTTTAACTTAAATAACCCAAAAAATATTTTGTAAATAGTTAAAAGTAGTAAGTTGTAATGTCTTTTTAATAATGATTATAAGTTGGTTAATAAGTTTAAATAAACATCAAACTTAAAGTGTAATCATAAATAAACTAAATTTAAATTTTAAAATAATATCTTTACTTCTACTTATAAAGTTATGTCTTTAACTTTTAACATATTATACTTAACTTATTAAATTTAAAATTTTGTTGTATGTAAACCATTATCAGTTTAAAGTTATAACTTTTGAACAGTTTGGACAAAATACTTAAATTATTAATTTAAATATAAAATTACAGTGTTAACTTAAATATAAATTTCAGTTTCACTTAAAAAACCAAAAAATATTTTGTAAATAGTTAAAAGTGATAAATTATAGTGATAAATACAAAAATTAAATTGTAATTTCGATTTAACTAAAATCTTTCTTAAATATATTTTTATAATCGTTAAAAATTTCGAATAAATAACTTAAAATAACAATAGTTAAAAATAACTCTATATAAATGATTATATTGTTACCTTTAAAATCAAGACAAAATTGCAAAAATAGTCTCTGTGGTATGTAAAATTTTGGGGTTTTAGTCCAAACCACGGGTTTTTTGGATCCATGGTCCTTTTGGAGTGGTTTATATGTGGTTTTGGTCCCTGGATTTAACTCCCGTTAAGTTGGATCTGTTAAGCCCCCTCACGTGCCTCACACGTGAGGGTAATTTCATCATTTCATATGTTAGGTACCATTTTTGCATAAAAGTTTTTTGGATTAATTGACATTTACCCCTCATTTACTTTCCCCAACACTCGTCAACTCCCCAACTCCCTCCTTCTTGCTTCTGCCCCATTGAACCTACAAAAAACCCTCGTTGCTTATTCAAACAAGATAATCGACACTACATATACAATGACATACGTTTAATAAGAAATGGTGTTCGTAATGTGGCATATCAGACCAAAACACGAAGTTGTTGATGTATCAACTGTATATGGTAAGTTGCTTTGTTTTCTTTAACTTTTATACTTTGCATTTTCTTATTGATTTAGAACAAAAAAATGAAAAATTTTGACTTTGTTAATATGTACAATTTTGATTTTTAGTTGGTGCACCCACATGGTTTAGTATTAAGCTTCATCACAGTGGGAAATTTACTAAGTTACCTGATATAAAGTACATTGGATGTGAAGTGCGTTATGTTGATTATGTGGACATTGATGAGTTTTTTGTGCATGAACTTGATGCCATAATGCTTGACCTAGGTTAGCCAGACCCACGGAATTCTGAATTCACTGATGAATCCCCAGTTATATACTACCATTTTAGGATACCCAATGGTGACTTTCAATTTGGTCTTAGAGCTTTAGGGAATGATCAGGATGTAATCAACCTTTCTAAATACATTGCACATAACAATTTGTTTGAGGTGTACACAGAGCATGGAAAGAAAAATTTATTGACTTACTTCATGTCACCAAATGCAAAGGGTAAAGTTGTCATTGAGGAATTACCATAAAATGATGATCAAGGGGCTGAAGTTGAGGGTCAAGTTCATGCAGATTCTCCAATGAAAAATGTGAACCATGGTAATGGTGAGCTTATTGGTGAGTTCATGTCTCTGATTCTTTTTAGGAGTAAGAATGATAGTTTCTCACCAGAGTATAGAATGGGTAGGGTTGGGAATTCCAATATAGGTGAAAGTTCTTGTAGCAAGAGGCTTAATTTAGATTATATTGATGAGGGTGTTCACATTTCAAAGGAAAAGAATGATGATCAGGATGGTTCAACTGATGTTCAGGAGGCAGCAACTTGTGTTTATTTTGATGAGATGGATGGTATTAGGGAGGCTGTAACTATTGTTCAAGAGGCATCAACTGTTGATGAAGGATGCTACAACACCCCCCCCCCTATTAATAATGCTGATGAACAATTGAATGAGTTATTTGATAACCTTATGGAAAATTTGATTGGGGTGATGATGATAATGCAGAGTATGAAGGGGATGGAGTATCTGAAGAGGGTAATCAAGAGTATGAAGAGGATGATGAATCTCAAGAAAGTGATCCAAATTTTGAAGAGTATGATGAATCTGAAAATAGTGATCCAGAGTATGAAGAAGATGAGAGACAAATAGAAGATGAATATCATGTGGATGACATAATGGATGTTGACAATAATATACAAGATGTGGATGTGGACATGGGAGACTTCACTCTTAATGTTGAAAGTGATGCGAAAGGTTCTTGTATAAATGTTGTTCATGGTCATGAACCTGAAGATATGGAAGTGATCAACAATGAGGAATTTGAATCTTTAGATGAAGGATCTGACCAAGACAGAGAGAGAAGATCTCTTATCAAAAATTTGAGAAAAGAAAAAAGGTGCAGTCTTGGGGCAGTACATAAACAATCATTTTCAGTTGGAGATAAATTTAATAGTAAAAAAGAATTAAATGAGGCAATTGATTTGTATACACTAGAATCAAGAAGGAATATTTTCTTTAAAAGAAATGAAAATATAAGTCTTAGGGCATAGTGTAGAGGAGGTGTACCTATCACTAATAAAGGCCAAGTGGGTAGTCAAGCTACCACTTCAAAAAGAAAGGATAAAGAATTAAAGACACAAAAAGTAACATGTGGTTGGTACATTCATGCATCTAGGTCAAATCCTGAATCCGACTGGTTTATAAGGACCTTAAACCAAACTCACACATGTTTGAAAACAAGGAAACTCAGGGCTTGTACTGCTTCTTTAATCAGCAAGAAAATCTTTGATCAAGTTGAGGCGAATCCAAATATACCTTTGAGAGCCATACAAGATCACTTTCAAAGAACCTACCAAGTGGGTGTTACTATGGACAAGGTGTTCAGGGCAAAGGATAAGGCAAAAAATCATATAATTGGGGACTACACAAAGCAGTATGAACTGTTGAGGGACTATGTTCTCGAACTTCAAGCCACCAACCCATACACCACAGTGAAAATAGATGTATGTTCTTAACCTAACCCTAATTCCCCAACCAGGCGGTTTAGAAGAATTCATGCGTGTTTAGGTCCACTAAAAAAAATTTCAAGGCATGCCTTAGGGACTTATTAGGTTTTGATGGTGCCTTCATGAAAGGACCATTCCCTGGGCAAGTCCTTTCAGCAGTTGGTCTTGATTCCAATAATGGAATTTACCCATTAGCATATGCGATTGTTGAGTCTAAAAACATAGAAAGTTGGAAATGGTTTTTAGATAACCTTGGGGATGACTTGGACCTTGGAAGAAACTTAAATTTTACTTTCATAAGTGACAAGAAAAAGGTAAAGTTGGAAGTAGTTTTATACATTTGTTCATTTAAAGTGTGGTTTTAAGTTAATTCTAATGATTGACAATTGATTCTTGCAAGGTTTACATACTGCAGTTGAGCAATTGTTTCCTAATGTTGAGCATAGATATTGTATCAGACATATTTATGACAATATAAGGAAAAGATGGAGACAAACAGAGTACAGGGACCACTTATGGAGGTGTGCATCAGCTACCACCATTCCTGAGTTTGAACATTTGATGAAGGAGTTTAGTCAGTATGATAAGGAGGCATGTGAATGGTTGAATCAAATTCCTCCTAAACATTGGGCAAGGAGTCATTTTTCAGGTAAATCTATATATTCCAATTCCGTCCTTATGTCTCTCACTAAGTGAAATATTTTACTTGTATGTGAATTGTGTTAAATGTTTTTTAATGGTAATGTACACACAGGACGAGTAGTTTCTGATGTGTTGATATCAAACATGTGTGAAGTGTTTAATGGGAAGATAAAGAAAGGATAAAGGTCCACTAACACCCACAGCAACAGACATCCTAGCTGCAAGAAAAACAATTGCTATGGAATACATTGCTAGGTGGAATGGGGGAGACAAGTATCAAGTCACAGGAGCTTTGCATGATCAACATGTGGTTGATGTTAGGAACAAAACATGCACTTGCAGAAAATAGGAATTAATTGGAATTCCATGCAGACATGCAATTGCAACTCTGAATGAGATGAGTAAAGACCCAGAGGCTGAGCTTGACATTTACAAATGGGTTCACAAGGTGTATTTTCTAGAGACATGGAAAAAGGCTTATTCTTTTAAGGTGGAGCCAATTAAGGGTAGATCCATGTGGCCCAAAAGTGAATGTCCCACAAAGCTAATCCCTCCTCCACATCGCACTCAGGTGGGAAGGCCTAAGAAAAAGAGAAGACAAAGTGAGGGTGAAAGGTTAAGCAAAAAGCAGAAGGCAAGTCAAGGTGATGGAGTGAATGCTACACAAGAAGGAGGTTCCCAAAAACCAACAAATGATGGAGTGCAGAAGCTATTAAGGAAGCATATCAGTGTTACATGTAGCAAATGCAAGAACAAGGGACACGACTCTAGGACCTGTAAAGGGAAAGGTAGGAATTAGTCCAAGAAGTAATGTGTCATGCATGCATGGGGTTTTCTGTGATTTTGGTTGGTTATGAAAACTTGGTTGTTATGTTTACAATATTTTGTTGAAAACTTTTGGTTGGTTGTTATGAAAACTTGGTTGTTATCTTAGGTATGGTAATGTGTATCCTTTTAGTAATGTTTAGAATCTTTGGTTGTTATGTTTAGAAAATTTGGTTGTTATATTACAAACCTTAATGAAATGTGCATTTTGGTTATGTACAATTGGTTCTAATATATACATTTTGGTAATACATTCATACCATTTCTATTCATATGTTAATTTTGATACATTCATACCATTTTGTTAAAACATTCATTACACTTGCATCATAAAATTGTACATATATCATTATCATCATAAGTCACTACAAACATGATCACATAAAATTACAACAAAATAACCAAAACACCCTTCAGAGTATACCCCTACACAAACCAAATACAGAAGAATACAATCACAAAGAAAAACCAACTTCCACACATGTACGTTTTCAGCTTCAAATTATCATCCTTCAATGCTTTGACATTTGTCACCAACATGTTCCTGCATATCAGTCCATTGCATTGATCCTGTAGCATGTTCATACTTCTAACCAACTCATTGCACCGTTCCTGCACTGAATTCAAATTTCTTAGCAAACCAGGTATGATGGGTTTAGCCCTAGCACACATTGGGGGATCAAGCCACCTTATAAACCTACAAACGGAATCATTCATAAGGCATGCAAAAAATCTCCTTCCTGGATTCAGAGGGGTCTAAGACGTTTTCACCACACCAACTTTTCCACAAAAACATAGCACCATTTTTGTTGTAGTAGAGCTCAAGAAGAATAAGGGTAGAAGAAAAGAGACGTTGGGGAAGAAGATCGCAGGAAGTGGGGGTGTTTAAAAGGAATTAATCCAAAAAATGTTTATGCAAAAATGGTCCCTAACATATGAAATGACGAAATTACCCTCACGTGCCATGTGTGAGGCACGTGAGGGGGGCTTAACAGATCCAACTTAACGGGAGTTAAGTCCAGGGACAAAAACCACATAGAAACCACTCCAAAAGGACCATGGATCCAAAAAAACTCGTGGTTTGGACTAAAACCCCAAAATTTTAATACCATAAGAACCACTTTTGCAATTTTGTCAAAGATCAAAAAATAATGTTTGATGTTTTAAATAATTATAGTGATAGAGTTAAAACATTAAGCAATAAATTTTAAAAAATTAATTTACAATAACAACAACTATTAAAAATAATAATAATAAAAAAAAAACATTAAACTATATATTATACTTAATTTTATTCATATGTAACTCGCAGATAGAAGTCATTCAAACGATTGACATTATGCAATTATAAGATATGTATATACTATAATAAAATTCAAAATAATCAATATATTATATCAATTTAGTATACGAATTATTATATCAAATTTAGCAACAATGTTATTGTTATATTTATTTAAAAAAAAAAAAAAAAAAAAAAAAAAACATATATTTATGAAGATTTCAACTATATAGGTGTTTCTGCGCAATGTGCGGGCATTCGTCTGATTTATATAATAAAACATATCATATATTGACAAATAGATTACTCATATCCATTGAAAATTCATAAAAAATGAAATTTAAAAATATATAATGAACGAAATTACACTACCAAAAGGTTTCCAGTATAACGGTATCAGTTGTTCTCCCTCCTTAAAGTCGATGGTTCAAATCTTGTTAAAGTTATAAGTGAAATTAAGAATAATTTAGGAATAAATTAGATTTACTATTCTAAAGAAAATAAAATTACACTATTTACAGAATTACATGCATTCATGATGTAAATAACATACCATGGATTTAGTAAATTTAGAAAAGATCAAGAGCAAGTTGTTAGTATTTGAAATACTCAACCACGCACAAATCAAAACATTTGTTGGGTAATTTAAGAGAAAAAGAACAGTAAATTTGATATGATGAATAAAAACATAAATAAATGAAATGGGCGTCATAATGGAACCACAAGATGAATTATTGTGTTTTATTGTCATGTTTGGTTGGTCTAACGATGGAATAAGTAGTTCATACATTTTTTTGCTATTAATAAATAAAAAACTAAAATTAAATAAAATCGATAACTAAAAAATGTCATTTTATAAAAATAAGTTTAATTAAATAAAGATAAATCGCTACATAAACCGGATATAAACATATTTTCAATTTGATCAAATTACATAGCATATGTTTGCAAATAGTTAAAAGATAATTATCTATGATATAAAAATTAGAAAAAGAACAAAAAAAAAAGACATTTTTTAAAAATAAAAGGAGTTATTTATTAGAAGATTATGCCATTAAAAATAATTTATAAATTATAGTATATACCATTTCATTCCCTAAAGGATATATATATATATATATATATATATATATATATATATATATATATATATATATATATATATATATATATATATATATATATATATATATATATATCCTTTAGGGAATGAAATGGTATATATATATATATATATACACGCATTTTTTTATTTTTTTATTTTTTTTACTTTTTTTAGTTCATTCAAGTTCCGAAAATAATATTTATAAAAAGAATTTTTTGATTTTTCCATTTATTTTGCATTTTAAAATTATTTTTAGAATATGTACAGTGTAATATTCTATTTAGAATATTTCACGTATTTTAAAAAAAAAATAGGATTTTTTTTTATTTTTTTTAGTTAATTCAAGTTCCAAAAATAATATTTAAAAAAAGAATTTTTAGATTTTTCCATTTATTTTGCATTTTAAAATTATTTTTTAGAATATGTCAGGTTAATATTCTATTTAGAATATTTCACGTATTTTTCAAAAAAAAAAAACGGGATTTTTTTTTTAGTTAATTCAAGTTCCGAAAATAATATTTAAAAAAAGAATTTTTGGACTTTTCCATTTATTTTGCATTTTAAAAATATTTTTAGATTTGATCTCATTGTCTCACAAAATTAGAATGGTCTCAAATGAACCTGAACCTATATATATATATATATATATATATATATATATATATATATATATATATATATATATATATATATATATATATATAGAGAGAGAGAGAGAGAGAATCCCCATTCCATATGGAATGAAAAACATGAGAAAAAATTGCATTCCATTGAGAAATGCTCTATTCTATTCCTACGTGACAACCAAATACAATTCTACTTTTTTTTTTCATTGGCTGTAATGTTTTATTTCATTCCCTTCTCGATTACTGCATACTAAAACACTACTTAAGAGCATGTTTGACAAACGGAAGCTATTGCTTTTATTTGTGTGGGAGTATAGTAATTGTCAGCTTTTGAAAGGTTTAATATGACATAAAACACAAAAACTAGTCAAAATTACTCTAACCTAATTTTTTCGAGGGAACACACACCTATAATGCAAGTATGGTACTTATTCTCACCAAAACAAAGCAACTAAAAGATTTTGGGATAATAATATATTTTTCGATTTGTACATATTTGATCATTGAGTTTTTTTTCGTCGATATTTACCCCTTCAACTTATTAGATTTTAGACATTCAGTCCTTATGATCGGCTACTACAGGTTAATCGGTAAAAAGGATTTAATATGGTAATATATTTTTCAATTTGTATACGTTTAGTTTTTAATATTTTTGTACAAATTTAAGCTTTAATATTTTTTTAGTTGCAAAATAAATCATTTTTGTTTTTGTACTCATTCAGTACTTATAAATTACTTCTTTAGGTTTTTCTTATTACATCTTACATAAGACGATCATTAATAAAGTGTTTGAAGCTTTTGATGCTTATGTCCATCACAATATCAATTACTTGGTTGCTTAGGTCATATGTTCTAAACGTCATAACTTCTTCATACGATCTCGGATTTTAACAATTTTTTTATCTATGAGTTCGTATGTTAGTATATTACAACTTATGTTTATATTACTCCAGTTAAAAAGTAATATATTTTTACTTACGATCTTTATATCCATACGTTTTTTATGAATGCATGTACGAATTTTTTTTAATAAAATCGTAAGTAAAAGTATATTACATTTTAACGGGGTAATCTTAACGAAAGTTGTAGTAGATTGAAAAACGAACACATGGATATAAAGATCGTTAAAATCTGATATCGTATAAAGAAGTTACGACGTTCAGAACACAAAATCTAAGCCAAACCACAAGACCTACGCAACCAAACAGTCGAGATCGCGATGGACATAAGCATCAACATCCCCAAACAACGCATCAATGATTGTCTCACGTAAAATGTCGTGAAAAAAACCTAAAGAAATCATTCATAAGTACTGAATAAGTATAAAAACAAAAAAGAAATGAAT